AGTGATGGTGATGGCGGTTGTGTGAGTGTGAGTGTGCAGTGATGGTGATGGCGATTGTGAGTGTGAGTGTGCAGTGATGGTGATGGCGGTTGCGCCTGTGCGTGTATGAGCGGTGATGGCGGTTGCGCGCACGCGTGTGTTTGTGTGCGTTGATGGCGATGGCGGTTGTGCGTGTGCGTGTGCGCGCGCGGTGATGGCGACGGCGGTTGCGTGCGTGTGCTGTCGTGTTTGCAGAGCGTGAAGCCGGGGGCAGGTTCTCCTGCAGGGGAGCTCTGCGCTGTGTGGTGAAGAGTGCTGTGACACAGCGCCTCTCGGCTCTTCGCTGTGACGTTGCTCTGATCAGCCTGCTCTTCCTCTCCGTCTTTCGCTTCTAACTTTCGGCTTTTTCTTTTCTTTTCTTTCCCTCCGTCTGGTTTCCTCTCTCGCCCTCCTCCCCTCCATTTCTTCGGCCTCCCGCCCCTGTCCTGTCCTCCTGTCCTCCCCGCCCTCCTCTTCCTCACTTCCTGCTGTTGCTCCAGTCAGCACCGCCCCCCGGGAGAAGCAGGTACGTCTGTCGCCATCGTGTGTTTCCGGGGGGGGGTGTGTGTGTGTGTGCGCGTGTGTGTGTGTGCGCGTGTGTGTGTGTGAGTGAGGGAGGGTGGAACCCCGAAAGAAAAGCAAAAAAAAATCGCAAACCGGAAATGATCGGATCAGAGCCTCCTGCACGTGGTCCTGCCGAGCCCAGTGCCGAGTTCTGCTTTTCCGCCCCGCTGAGGCTGGAGTTGCCAGCTGGTCCCAGGTCAACTGGACGGTTTGAAATAGGCTCTTTTTTTTTCCTTGTAAATCCCTGGTCTGGATTGGCCAGGTGTGTTTGTTATGCTACAAGCCCTACTGCTACATATCCGGGAGAGCGAGGAAGTGCAGGGAGACTCCTCCGGTCGGCTCTCCTCTGAGCCACTCGTCTCTTAACACCTCTCTGAGCTCGGGCACCGTCCCGAACTCGGGTTCGGCGCGGTCCGGGCTGCAGGCAGGCGGACTCCCTCCCAGACAGCCCCGCGAGCCTGAAAACACCTGGGAGGCTGCAGGGGGTGCTGTGTCACCCCACCTGGACAAGTGAGCCCACCCCTCCCTGCCCTAGGGGGCGCTCATCTGCTTGTGCGCCACCCTCTGGGGAGTCCCGGACGCAGTCGGTTACTGACGGATCCAGGGCTCGAACCCGCAATCGCTGGGATCGGTGGACACCTGCACTGACTGAGCCACTTGGCTTTTAAACTGAAACATGAGCAGCTGAGCAGCAGGAGGCCTCGTCAGCCAGAGCTGATCAGCACTCTGGACGTCCTGCAGGGGAACCTGTGTGAATCAGGACACGGACTCACAGGCAGAGTCCCGATGCTGCCACACAGTGCTGCGCTAATAAGTTCATGCAAAAAGGCTAAAATCTGAAAGGCTGCTTTTATTACGTATGACAGCAGGCTGCTTAGGTTACAGCTGTTCTGATGCTCTGAGGTGAAAACCAGTCTCGTCTCAATGTGAGTAGTTCATTCCGTCCCAGCTGAGCTCCCGTGTTGTTTAATTGAACTATTAATTGGTTTTAACTCCAGCTTTTACTCTGCTGGAGGTGTGAGGTTCATTATAAAATTCATTTGACATTTTCAACTTTGTTGGAACAGAAAACCTTCTGGTTAATTGATCTGTAGATCATATAAAGAAGTCAATTAAGTGAGAGCCAAAAAACCAGCAGAGGCAATGGTCACTGGCACCAGGGTGCCCCCTGCTGGACACAGGTCCACTGCGCAGCAGCCAGATACTCCAGCCTGTCTTGGTTACTGTCACAGGCTCGTCCACCAACTCTCCTGGACAGTCCCAGTCCCGCAGGTCTTGCAGTTCACCAAAAAATCATCTCGTTACAAAGACTTGGAACATTTTAGCTGTAATCACTTCAGAATGCTAGTGAGTAATCAGTTTAGAAATAAGCTGAAGCGGTAACTGACAGACCAAAGTGGACCAGATTCTCCTCGATTGAGCACATTACTTGCTCAGTGACTTCATGAACTATCTCGCTTCAATAACAGTGAAGTGTGCCCAGTCTTCCCAGTGCTGAGAAACACTAAAGCATATAAGTGAAAACAACATGGAAGTGCTTTTAAAACGTGGTTTTAAAGTGACCTCTGAAGTATAAATAGATTAGGGCTCTCCTGGACCAGGGCTGAAGACACCTCTAGTTGCAGATTTATTTTGGGTCCCTGTCTTGTTGTTTCGAACCACTAGGGGGAGCAGTTGTAGAGACAGTGCAGTACGTTAAACGAGTTGATGTTTCAGTGGACATGTGGAAGAGCTCTAATCAGAGTTGTCCATCCTGGATGAGCACCTGGATGCTTCCCAGATTCTCTCATTAGTCCTGAGGGGGCTGGAGAGTTTCATCCTGACCCCGAGTCTCTGACTTGATTGAGCAATTGGATCCGCTGGATGTTGGTAAGTTTTTCTGCGGCAAGATCTGGGAGGAATCTGTCGATGGGACAGCCTCGTGGTCCCCGGGTGCAGGAGGGGTGCAGGTGCCTCAGGCTGGGGCAGAGGTGCTTGTGGCCAGGTGACTGGATGACGAGAGCGGCTCAGGCAGTGAGGGGATTGGGATGAGACGGAATCCCAGAACAGCCTGCAGCACCTCTGGGGTGTTGAGGTCCGCGGGAAGCCGTGGTTTGGGTTGGGCACCCCAGCCCGTC